ACAAGCATCCTACTTGTGATCTAGAACAGTTTTGCAACCAACTAAATGATATAATCAAATTAATTAATTCCAATAAGCATGAAATATACATCTTTGGAGATAGGAATAGAAATTCCTGAAATTTAATGAACACGTCCAAACTGAAGAATTCTTAGATATGCTCTATGCCAACAACATCTTACCAATCATTACTAAACCTACCAGGCTTACTGATCATACAGCAACACTCATTGACCATATATATACAAATTGTTTTAAAAAACTTACAGCAGGAATCCTGACAGTTGATTTAACAGATCATCTCCCCATTTTCTGCATAGTTAAAACCCAGCCCACATGGAACAATGACAATAAAATATATTTTCGAGACTATTCTAAATTTAAGAAAGACCTATACTTGGATGATATAAATCAGATTGCTTGGCATGAAATCCTTAATCCCCAAAATAATTATAATGAGAAGCTAAGGGAGACAATTAATATCCTGAATGAAATTGTTGACAAAACATGCACCTATCAGGCTGGCTAGCCAGAGCAAACAAAAGCAACTTAATAGGCGATGGCTCACTGAGGCTATTTTAAAATCAGTAAAAAGGAAACAGAAAATGTACCGGACACATTACTTAAGCAATGACTCTCAAAAAAAAAAAAAAAAAAAGGGAATATAAACATTATGCAGCTATTCTTTCACATCTTAAGAATAAAAGCAAGACAGACTATTATAGCATGCAATTCTCAAAGTACAATGATAATCTTAAACAAACTTGGAAACTTATCGGTACTCTTGTTAAAAGGAAAGCTAGAGCTCAAACTTTCCCTACAAAAATTACCCATAATAACAGGACTTATTCACAAGAAAAGAACATTGCTGAATCATTCAATAATTTCTCTGTCTACATTGGGCCAACTTTAGCACAGAAAATTAAACCTGATCATACAGACCCTTTGCAATACATAGAATCTACACCATCAAACAACTTCTACCTTGCTCCAGTAACCCTTGCACAAGTGTTTACATTGTTTGCTGGGCTAAAAGAAAATAAAGCATCACTCACTGTTCCTAATAAGCTTATCAAACTTGCAGCTAAACAGCTCTCTGCACCTTTCACTGAGATCTACAATGAGTCAATATCATTAGGAGAGTTTCCTGAAGCCTTTAAGATATCAAAAGTAACCCCAATATTTAAAAGCGGTGGTGTATCTGAGTTAGGTAATTATAGACCAATAGCAGTTATTTCTCCCTTCAGTAAAGTACTGGAAAAACTAATATATGACCAGCTTGTGTCCTATTTAGAAAAAGAATGTCTACTTTTTAACTATCAATTTGGCTTTCGAAAGGGATATTCCACGGAATATGCAATTCTCGAAACTGTAGAGAACTTGAAGTCAGCAATTGACAGTCAACAAATTACATGTGGTATATTCTTAGACTTTTCTAAGGCCTTTGACACAATTAACCATCATATTCTCTTAGGAAAATTATACAAATATGGGATCCGAGGAGTCCCCCATGCATGGTTTTCGAGCTATATAACTAATCGTAAGCAATATGTCAAAGTTGGTAATACAGAATCTAGCCTGAAAACTATTACATGCGGTGTACCCCAAGGCTCCACACTAGGTCCGTTGTTGTTTCTGTTGTATAT